CCAAAGAGTTTCTTTGGAAGTAGAATAATAGCTCTCTGTTAATATCTTCTGTAGGTCCCCATTAACAAAGTCCCCTTGAAACTTTCCATCATTGTCATTGGTAATGTATGCATGGAGGAAAATAAACATTCCCACCCTGTGCCTGCACTAACCTGTTTAGATAATGCACAAGGCCAAAAACGGTTGATCATGGATCCAATCTGTGGTCCAGCACAGTTCTCCAAAGTAAAAAGACTCTTTGTTTGCTCTGAATCAAGCCAGAAACTTTGGAGAATCCCCTGGGTGTGCAGACCATGTGGTGATGTAGGGACTGGGGAGGGGCTGAGGAACATCACTAGGTGGGCACAAGAGGTCAGAAGGAGTCACCTTGGGCCAGGTGAGACACTAACCCAGGGAATATGTGGACAGTGCTGCTGGTATTGGCCCATTGTGAGTGCCAGTTGTGTAGACAGCTCATCTTCTCTGCAGATCCAGAAGCCCCAATGGTAGGCCAAGTTTTCCCATCAGTGCAGATACTGTCATTGTTATCACCACCATTTACATTTCTTGTCTGCCTTCTTCCCCTCAAAAGAAGACTCAAAGACTATATGAAAATTTACAAAAAACAATCTAAAGTATAAAAGAAGATATCCCTCCATTGCTCCCAGTCTCTTTCAAAACAATTACTCCGATATTTTTACCAAGCAGGAATCTCTAAAGGTTACTTAAGGTGAAATTTCATGGTAGCCTTAAGCATGCTCCCTGTAAAGAGTGGCATGGTTCAATGTCCCTATGTGCACATTTGACCTTTTTAAAGTGTGTCATAGTTGCAAGGACAAAATGTCTATCACTAGGTTATGGTCCATTGTGAAATGTTAGGAGTGCCCCTATCTATTATTATACTCACTTATTCTACACATTCATACTGTATTCAATTGAATTTACACCCAAGTAAACAGATATATTATTGTGATCCTAGGCTAGGTATACTATTGCATTATATTCATTGAATATAATGGAGTTTCCCAGCAAGCATGCATCCGATTTCTCTGCACATGTAGTACAATGCTTTCTATTTGCCTCTGTGGAAAAAGTGGAACACAATATCCAAGACTGTCTCTCAGCTGTGTTTTACCTCTTCATACAGCAATGGGTTGTCTTTGTTTTATTGTCCTTCAATTATTCATTTCCTTCTCCCAATGATAAAAGCATCTTTATGGTGATACAACAACTAATGAATGAACTGATATGGACGGGAGACAAGAGTATGTTCCCATATTCGTGGACAATTTAAACTTTCTTTGTATCCTATCGTTTAGCTTTAAAAAACACCCAAGGATAAAAAGCTAATCACAAGTTAGCTGCATCCACCACATGAAATGCAATAAATTAACAAGCTGACAAAAATTGATTGCTAACCACCACTAACAAGCAGTCTGTTGTCTAATGGTCCAGAACCAAGTTGTTTGTTGCTGATGTTCTAAGAAGCTGAGAACAACTAAATTCACGGAGCCACATTCTGCTTTTTGATGTAAATCAGAGTAACACTGTTTTAAAGAACTTAATTGAAGCTCAGCATTGATTAAAACTCTTTACGAAATAGAACTCCAAAGTTATTTAGATGCAAAAACAGAATGAATGTTTTTCTACATAATGAATCATTATGTAGAAAAACATAGATAAGTGTATGCCTGTCATAAAAGTTATCCAAGGTGAAACCATATGCACAGCCAGCATTATGTAGTGCTTTGAGTGTTGGATTATAACTCTGGGGACCAGGTTTGGATCTCAATTCAGACATGGGAATCCACTGGGTGGCCTTGGGTAAGTTGCACTTTCTCAGTCTCATTGGAAGGTAACAGCAAACCTTCACTCAACCTCATCAGAGTTTTGGTTATTTCTTTCTGTGTTCTAATCCATTTATCATCTCCAAACATTCACACCAATGTGTCATAAGAAATTTGCAGTCAGTCAAACAGAGATGTAGGGGTGATCTTTAGTTGGCTTATTCATCTGCATGCATCAACCACTGTAGCAGCTAATATGTATAGGCACCACTGAATCAGTTTTTGGTTCAATACATTGGTAAATCCCATTGCTTCAGTGGTTCTACACTACCAATGAGATCCATATCATAATGTTGTAACATTTGATCTTTCTTGTTTCAGGAAACTAGTAATCATATCCCCCTTGGAACATCATCTTTTTTGGGATCTACCCATGAGAACTAGGGCCTTAGATGAATACAGAAACTATGGAGGGGTAATAAAACACTTTCATAATGGAGGAAACTGTGGGCCTCGGCAGACGGCTAATTGAGCCGTCTCTGAGGCCAGGAAGAGGAGGAGCAGCCGCACATGCTGTGCTCCTTCCTCTTCCTGAGGTTGCCCTCGGAGCTGCCGGCCATCCGCACGGCCGGCGCTTCTGGGGCAACCTCCCGCTGCAGCGTCCTCACGCGCTGTGGCAGAAGAGTCAGGGAAAGTGCTCCCTATGCGTTTAGGGTGCACTTTCCCTGACTTCTAGAAGGAGCGCCAATTTGGCGCTCCTTTTAGGGTCACCGCGGGAGCACGGCAGTGCGGCTGCCATGGCCCCATGGCGCTCTGGACCAGGGCGTCCTGGACGCCCTGGTCTGCAGAGGCCCTGTGATAATGCAAAGCCAATTTTAAAAATTAATCTGCCACTTTGTAGAGGGAGAGAAAAATAGGTCAAGAACCTCCCACTGGACAAATGAAAGAACATGGATGAAAGAAGGGGAGGAACTGAGATTGTTTGAGGGAGGTGTAAAGAAGCTATTTCTCTTGATAAGAAGAATCAGAAGTATTCATGGAAGAAACACACAAGATGAATAGCATATGTTACTAACTCTATACCTACTTTTCAAACTGTCTCTTTGTCTTGTGATTTGCTCTCTGGAAAGTCAAACTTTTAACCAATCCTGGTTATGGATGTGATTTCAAAGAGCTTGGATATATGTTACAATCATCATGTTGCCATGCTCTGTTGGTTGAGTTTGAAAAATGTTGGTGCCTTTTCCACAGGAGGTGGGGAGGGTCGTGTGTGTGTGAGATAATTGGACAGCCAGAACCTGAAAAGTTACTTTTCAAAAAGCAGTTAGTTACACTTACATTTTTAAGGACCCACAATCATTAGTTACTTACATAGTTGCAATTTGTTTTAAAAAGTCACCAGACATTTTTTAAAAGCAGTAAAATAGTTCCACTGAGTTGCAGGAAAAAATATGAGTGCTACAAGATTTTGGGCTCTGGTATGAAAGAAACATTTCCTTCATTGTTTCCCAAGCATTCCCAACACAACATGTGCAAGGCATAGCATGAACCACCACTTGACCTCTTCCCACATTTAATGA